TACTCACTGATTAAAAATCAATTTTCTTCTTTAAATGTTGAAAAAGTGAATCATGAGAAGTAATCTCTTTGAAGAGAAAAGCTTGAATCTCTTATAGACTTACAAATAAGTGAACTATTAAAAGAGAAAGAATATGAACAGCATTTAAAGAGAATTTCTATAATCAATATAAAAGACTCTATTCTGATTTATTCAGATGACTCAAAGAATGAGAATCTGAATAGATTAGATGCAGGCATTGCTTATACTGAAGATAATATCAATTTTATCTCAGATTTCTGAAATCTAGGCTGTGAATCTGAAGTCTTTGATGCTGAACTATTTGCAATAGTGAAAGTTTTCAAACTCATAGAAATAAAATCTCATAAAAGAGAAAATAGTTTGAAAGAGACATGAATATTCTCTGATAGTCAAGCTGCTTTAAAAAGACTTAGAAATAGTCAGATTCATAATGATCAAATGAATCTTGAACTGATCTTAAACTCTGTTTTGAAAATTCAAAAGAGAAGAACATCAAAGCTGATAATTCATTTACACTGAGTTCCTGCTCATATGAATATTCATGGCAATGAATTGACTGATTCAGCTGCAAAAAAGAGTGCAGAATTAAGCAGATCTATTCAAAAAGTTGTGTCCTGGTCTTTTATAAAGAGAAAAATAAAAGAATCTTGTTTAGACAAGTGAAATGAAAGCTGGCAGAAACAAAAGAAAAGTATACATTATTCAAGATTTGAAACAAAACTCAAGTGAAAATCTTGTTCAATTAAATGTAAAAAGAAAATATTCTCATCTATAATACAGCTGAAACTAGGACATGGCTATTTCAAATCTTATATACAAAGATTTGATGATAGATTTGACTCAATAGAATGCTCATTCTGCAATGCAAATGAGAATTCTGAGCATATTATAATACACTGTGTGTTATACAATAGTCTCAGAGTCAGATTAAAAGAGAAGTATGATCTAAATCAATTAAATATGAGATTCTTATTCTCAACTGAGACAGGAATTAAATATTTAATAGACTTTCTATCAGAAACTCAAGCAGCTATAAGAAAATGACTAAATTCAAAATTATCTGAATATGAAGAGAAGGAAATCAATCAGATATAGTCTGTTAAAACAGCTATATACTATCTTTTAATAATTTGTTTTGTTACAGTCTTTCTTTACTTTATCTTTTTCTTTCAATTTCTTTCTGTCTATCTATTTAATGTGTCTATCTTTAAGACTGTGTTCTCTTTTCCTTTGTCATGATATTGTCAAATGATTTCAAAGTATCAGAAGATGTTAAAACACTGCAATTTGTAAACAGTTTTTGTATTCTGAGCTGGAATTTTCTGATTTTGCATATCTGAAATTGATGAATGTATAATAGTTAACTTTACAGATATAGGAAAAACCCTGAGAACTAAAAGTTCTCAGGTAGATGTCATAGTCTCTGACTGCATACATCTATAATTGAAGAATAATAATAATAATAACAGGAAAATGAGACTGTTTATTCTCACTCAAGACACTGTGCAGGTGTTTACAGAATTGAAACAAGCTTTCACAGATATTATAATACTGAATCACTTTAACTCTGACTTACTCAGTCAGTGTGAGACTGATGTATCTGAGAATGAGATCTGTGAAATCTTTTCACAGTTAACACTGAAGATGTTTCAATATTGAAAGAATCAGAAAATAATCATCTCTGAGAAAACAGATAATGAATTATCTGTGAGAGAAGACTTTTTCACAGAGTCTATAAGATATTATAAATGAAGATCAGTGATCTTCTTCTTCAAGAAGTTATTACTTATATAGAGAAGGTATGATACTTATAATCAGAAGATATTAGTAATTATTGAATTCTTTAAGATCTGATAATATTATCTTCAGAGTAGTAAGTACTCAGTGTAAGTTCTCACTGATCATGTAAATCTATGTTATTTCTTAACAACAAAGAGCTTGACAGAATGTTAAGCCAGATGAATAAAGCTGCTTTTGAAGTATAATTTCTATATCTGATATTATTCAGATTGACTTAACTCTGCTGACATACTGTCTAGATAACCTGATTATAATATTATTAATGCAGAGAAGAATTCTATAAAAGAATCTCTGTCATCACTGCAGAAGAAGCTGACTGCAGAGAATTGAAGTTCTCTGAAGCTCAAAAACAGCACTGAAAAGACAGCTGTATAACTCAGTATAGAAGATGAAAGAAAACTCAGATCTCTGCAGAGAACTAACACTGAAGATTATAAGCTTCTTATATTATATCTTACAATCATTGAATTGATAAAGAATAAAACAGTCTACAATCTTTCAATCTGACTACTTTTAGAATTTATTAATAAGTTATAGAAGAGAGATGTCTCTACTGCAGCTTGAATTCAGAAGTTGAAGAAGAAAGAATCTGATTTGAACTTGAAAGAGACAGACTCTGAGCAGAGCAGTGCTGCTAAGAAATTAAGTTGCTAATAACTAGAAGAATGTGAACTTCTACTGCTGAATAATTCAGTCTTCATTTCTTATAGTAGAGCAGTGTATCAGAAGTTATTGAGAATTCATTATAATGATTCTTATACAGAACACTTTGAGTTAGAGAAGACTGAGAAGCTTCTAAAATATAAATATACTTAAGACAAGCTTCAGACAGATATTAAAAAGTATATTGAGACTTATAATATCTATCAAAGAATAAAGATTCTGCAGTATAAGTAATACAGTGAGTTGATATTACTATCTATTTTAAAAAGCTTATGATAGAATCTATTAATAAATTTCATAGTTGATCTACTGAAGTTAATAAGAGTCAAAGAATATGACTCAATTTTAATCATTATTAACTACTTTAAAAAGATAATCAGATATATCTCTACTTATAAAAATATTAAAGTCTCTGAATTGACTAACCTGTTTTTAGATATCATTATTTATAATCACAGTGCTCTGAAATTATTAATAATAGATTAAGAATTTCTCTTCATCAGTAAATACTGATCAGCTTTTTACTATCATTTTATAATAAAATATCTTCTCAGTACTACATTTCATCTGCAGACTGATGATCAGACTGAATATTAGAATCAGACACTAGAACAGTATCTTTGAGTGTTCTATTTATATTATTAGAATAATTAACTCAAACATCTTCTAACTGCTGAATTCACATATAATAATATAAAGAATGTAATCTTAAAGATATCTTCTTTCTATACTTGTTATAAATATAATTCTTTATTACTCAGTGACATTATAGATAATATTTCAAAGAGAGAAATAGATAGTCAGAATATCAGATAGATACAGAGAATAAAGTATCTCTCAGTGTCAGAAGTAAAAGTGAGATTGAAACTTTTAAACAAAATTCATAAGAAGACAGTGAAAAGCATTCATTATACTTAGAAGTAATAAATAAAATACTATAATTAAAAACATCTTCTAATGAAGTTGTTGATAGAGAATTAAATGCTACTTTTAGCAAAGAATATCAAGATAATAAGACTGTATAAGAAGCTTAGTGAGTGATAACTAGAATCTTTTCTGATAATAAGAGTAATAAGTAAGCAGATATATAAGTTGAAATTACTCACAGAATTGAAATCAATTCATTCTATTTTTCACATTTTCTATTTAAAGCTCTATAAGTAATGCTTCAGAGTGAAGCTGTCTTAATTAAATAATATCAAGATTGAGAGTGATACTGAATATCTTATAAAGAAAATATTAAATAAGTGAATATATTATAACAAGCTTTAATATCTTATGAAATAAGAAGAATATTTATTATCAGAGAATTTGTAAGAACTGCTTGAGCATTTAAAAAATGCTGAGAAAGAGATTGTAAGCTATAAGACAGTTAGTAGAGACTGCTCTGTTACACATCAGAGATATTGAGTAAGAAATACTATTTAAGACTTCTTATTTTTCTCAAAGAATTTTTTAGAGATAATCTTACAGTGATGAGCTGATATCTTATGAGCTTTATAGCACTCTTCTTCTATTTTCTCTTAAAGGGTTTTTTAGAAGTTTAATAAGACTATACAAATGTAAAATTTCTGAAGCAGTTAATAAGAAAAGAAAGAAATATTTGAAATTAATAAAGATTAATATTATTAATCTGTGAGTCACTGCTATTCTAATAGAGCTGCAGTCTGCTGAAAAAGTAAAAAGAGAAATCAGAGTCTACTCATCAATAAGTATACTCTTATTAAACTTATTCTTCACTATTGAAGTCTTCAGTACTGATATCTTTATCTGCTGAGAAGTTAGCACTGTAACACTGCAGAGAAGTATACTGCAGAAGAGTATAAGAGATACTGAAAGTATTAACTTATTAACTTATAAAGTATCTCAGTTATCTGCTTCAACTGAAGTGAGATTCTCTTCAATCAGTGATTAATCTCTATAATACTTTCAACAGCAGTACTAACTAATCTCTTCTTAAGATCAGTCATTCTGAGATGTTTTTTCATCTCAGAGATTCACACTTTCATCTTCTTTTATAGATGAGTAAGAAGAATCTTCTCAGTCTTGATAAAATCTATTAATACTTGAAGCTCTGAGACTCTCACTCTGTACTACTTGAGTATCTAAGCTTCTTATCAGAGCTGATATAACATCTTCTTGTAGAGTAGATAATACTTACAGAGAGATAGAAGTTATTATTATAGATATAATGAAAATAATAAGAGTGAGAGAAGAAGTAAGTGTATAAAATTCTCTTCTTCTTCAGCTGCTTAGCATAGCATAGATAAATAGTGATATCAGTCAGAGACTGCACTGAAGCCTTCTCACAGAGAGAAGATAAAGAAACTGTGAGATTCTGTGAACTTAACTCAGCAGCATCTTAAGCAAGACTCAGATATATTATAGAAGAGAAACTACAGATTGAACTTCTCAGAGTCACTGTTCTCAGAATCAAGCTCTCTTCAGAGTCCTCTCTGAATGACTACACAGGGTCATATATCACTGTGTTGATTGAAGAGGGGGGCGGCGTCGCAATGGCGGCAGAGGGGGCAGGGAATGGACTGGACACAGACACACCAGCCGGCAGAAGGGATGATATCTCATTACAAGACACAGCAACTACCACCACAGCTGCAAGAGAAGTAGAAGAAGATGTGACAATAAGAGCAGTGCTCTCACAGCTCATTGATATCACTGCCTTCAACCTGGCTTTCTTAACAGTCACAGAGGCCGCAGCTGCATCATGAAGATGTTTGTTACTCACTAGAAAATGTCAGAATAAGTCTCTTATTGTCTCTCAAGAATGATGCTCTCATGCACTCAGTATTACAGATGAGAAGAGAGAAGAAAAATGTGTCATAAGAAGAGAGAATCTTTTCAAAAAAATCCTATCACTACTGTTAACTTTGTCCCTAAAATACATCACTTTTGCAGAGAATTTTATATATAGAATGAAATATATTGAGAGATCTGTAAGTCACTTATTAACTATATTTTCCACATTTCAAATTGATATATAAGAAACTCACTTATCATGTGTTTGATTTGAATGAAGATGAGAAAAGAAAGATCTATACAGTCAGTAGAACAACTCATCTATTTCTTTATACAGTATATATACTGTTAATTGATTGATAACTGTTGCTATATAACAAAGATAATTTCTAATTCAGTAATCTTAAGAGTATTGAGACTATACTCTTAAAGAGAAGAGTATTATCATACTCTCAGCTATATTAAGACTCTGTTACAGTTTTACACAGCTTATTGCTTTCATATGAATAATTTCATTCTATTTAAATCAGTTTTCAATCACTCTATAATATTATTCAGATATATCATAGAAAGATCTGATTAATAAATATAAGAATCTCACTTCTATATAAGATCAGCAGATTACTCTTTCTTAACACTGAGACACTGCTGAGGTATCACTTCAGCTATTCTTGCTTATGAAATGAGAGAAAAGTATCTGCTCATTATTTATATAGAATAGCTAGATGCTGACTTCTCATTAAAGAAGTCAGTGATTCATTTTTCTTCTACTGAAATATATATGAGAGTTACTGTGTATCTCATACAATTTTCTTAGTATACTAAGTATCATATCTGTGATATTCTTGCAATAACTCTGTAGTCTATGAGCTCACTATTCAAGCAAGATAGTCAAGCTCATTTATACAGCTTCTTAAACAACTATTTCTATGTGTCACTGCTGACTAGTCACTGCTTCAGTTCCGCCACGTTACATAAAGAGACTTAAATAATCTCTTATAAAGAGAGTGCTGAATTTATGTATCTGTGAATAAGTTTCTATATATAGAACTTATTAAAAGATATTATAACTTTTCTCTAATGAGTTATTTTACAGATACTAGAACTCATGAGTTACTCATAAGAAAATACTTCTAACTGAAGATACAAGAACTTGTAAAGAAGATAGTGAATTCTTATACTATTTATCAGAATTTGCAGATAGTGCAGTTTAAATCATATAAAGAACTTACTTCTCTACTTATTTCACAGAAACCTTGAGAACAGCTAGAAATAAACATTCTTATAAGTCTTTCTGAAACTAAGAACATATATAATACCTGCTTTGACAGTGTGCTGATGATAGTAGATTACTTTATCAAGATAACACACTTTGTACTCATCTACAAGAACTTGAATTCAAAGAATTTAACTCATATCTTCATTTATAATATAATCTGATTGTATGAGTTATCTCTAAACATTGTTTCAGATAAAGAATTAATCTTCATAGAGAAGTTCTGATCTGATCTGATAACTATACTGAAGATCTTACAAGATCTAAGTACAGCTTTTTCTCAACAGATAGATGATTAGATAGAATATCTAATAAGTATATTAAAACAGTATCTGTAATACTTTGTCAATTACAATCAGAATGACTGAGTGCATTAATTATTACTTATAAAGTTTATATACAACAACTTAAAGTATGTCAGTACAGATAAAACTCTCTTTGAGATACTCACTGAGACTTATCTGTGAATAATCTTGATAAATCTGTGAGAGTATACTATAAAGTGTGATAATGTCTGTGAATGAGCTGAGAGAATTCAGAATATTCAGAAGAAAGTCTGTGAATTCTTGAGAAAGACTCAAGAGTATCAGAAGAGATACTATGACTGTAAGTATATTATAAAGAGTTTTAAGAAAGATGATAGAGTCTGACTGAGTCTAGAAAATATTATTATATAAAGATCTAGTAAGAAGCTAGATCTCTTATAGACAGAGTCTTATAAGATTATAAAGAAAGTTAGCTTATAGTTCTATAGATTGAAACTGTTATCTGAGTTACAGATATATAATGTTTTTCATATCTCTTTACTCTGTAAATATAAGAAATTCTCAGAAGAGAATTCTATGACTCATCACTCTATTTACAAAGCATTGAAGAGTGAAAGAGAATATCAGATTAAAGAGATTATTAACTCAGAGAAGTAAGATCATGAGCTCTGATTCAAGATTCAGTAAGAAGAGTATTCTGATAAGATGAATAAGTTTACTTAAGAATTATTCAGACAGATAAAATATCTGCAGAAGCTGAGATATAACTTTCATACTGTAAATTCTGATAAGTTAGAATGATATAGTCTTCACTAAGAATCTGATTATAATAAAGATATTAACACTGTTATTTATAAACTCTAGTCTATAAGATAATGAGTTTCTACTGAAATAAACAGTCTGTGATGTATACAAAGAAAAGAAGAAATTATGCTCTTATTAAAGCTAAAAAATAAAGAAAATAAAAACAGAGCTGTGAATATAATTTAGAGATTAACAAAGAAAAAACAAAGAAAATTCATACTTATATTCTTGATATCTGTGATACTTAATCTCTCTGTGACTATTAATTCTTCTCTTCAAAGAAGCAGAAAGTATTATATCTACAGTACAGATAATTATTATATTTAATGTAAAGACTGTCAGAAATACACAGACTTCAGAGAAGCTAGATATCAGAGTATATACAGTTGTAGCAGAGTCTTAAGAACTGACTGTCTATGTATATGATCAGATATCTCTTATAAAGCTGTGTCTGCTTTCTCAGTTATACTGAAGTATTCAGTCTGAAAATAATTAAGATGTAAAGAGAAGACTCATCTACTCAGATCAACTTCTGTCATAAATTTATAGTATTTGCATTGCCTTAATTACCTGAATTTTATAAGTATCTGAGAACTCATCTCTCATTAACAATGAGATTGCAGAAATGCGCCACAGTGTGAGAATCATTGATAGAGAATCTAGACATATTTATATGTATCTGATCAGAGATTATGCAGACAGAAGAAGAGTGATTGTAGATCTATAAGACTGCAGAAGACACTGACAATATCAGAAGCTTTATAAGAACTGTTAACTAGAATCTGTAAGAAATTACTTATAGAAAGACTTACAGCAAAGAGCAGAACTATACTACTTGAAGTCAGAGACTGATTTGAAAGAGGTATGAAATTGACTGCTGATCTGAAGATCAGATGCAGTGATAAGACTAAGAGAGATAAAAATAGTATTATAAATAATAACATCTCTATTTCATTAGCTGATAAAAAGTCATTAGAGAAGTTACAGAGACACTTATAAGAAGCTTAGTAGTGATCAGATATTATTTATAAAGATATTGAAATTGAAAGAATTTTTATTCTTAAGAAGTTCTTGAATTAATATATAAATATTATTAGAAACACTCTCTCTCTGTCATCTAAGTGAAAACACTTTATGAATGAATGAGAACACTCACAGTTTATAAGAATGAGAGCTGTTATAGAAAAAGAAAAAAGAAGATGAGATTTCATAGATAGATCTGAAATATTTTTACTACTCTAGAGAGATTTACTTGCACTGTGAGTGATCTCATAGAACAGTCAGATCACTTTAGTAAATAAAGAGTGATTATGAATTACAGGTCTAAATCTTTCTATATAACTATAAAAAGTGATTGCAGACTGTAGATATCTTGATTCTACAATTCTACAGAGTTGATGAAAGAATGAAAAATTCCTCACAATTCTACAGTGTTAAAGAACACTGATTTATAAGAATAAGTGAAAGATCAACTCATGAATACTTCTCTTTGATGAGAATAATCTTACAGAGAGTGATTCACCTGTGAGATGAATCTATGTAATAGTCACACAAGAATCTTATAAAAATAATTGAGAGTTAACTGAAACTCTTCTGTATGAAAGATGTAAGATGAATCTGTGTAATAGTTAGAGAAGAATCTGTAAAGAATAAAGAATCTTATGAAATAAGAAACTGAGTAACAGACTCTTTTTTCTTTATAGTAATAAGAGATTTTTCCTCACTGAGGTTTTTTTTTTATAGATATGAAGAGTCTTTAGTAAGTATCACTGCAGTGCTGTGCTGATTCTATGAAGTCACTCAGTGAAAGACTTCACAGATGAAGTCTTAGAGAGAAAGAGATATATAAGAAATCTCACTTCTTACAGATTCTTTATCTCTATTTCTATCTCTTATATAATCAATAGAGTTAGCAGTTCTTGACTACACACAACTATATAGACTGAAGTTCGTGAATACTATTCATAACTCAGCTTAAATGCTATTATATATTTGATCTCTACATTTTATCTTTCTACTGCAAATACTTCTAGTAATTAACAGTATATATCATGCCAAGCTGCAAACATCTGAATAATCGCCTGTGAGCACTTATTCTTACAAGAATGCTCATTCTGTAATACAAATGAGAATTCTGAGTATATTATAATACACTGTGCATTATACAATAGTCTCAGAGTCAGATTGAAAGAGAAGTATGATCTAAATCAATTAAATATAAGATTCTTATTCTCAACTGAGACAGGAATTAAGTACTTAATAGACTTTCTATCAGAAACTCAAGCAGCTACAAGAAAATGACTGAATTCAGAAATATCTGAATATGAAGAGAAGGAAATTGATCAGATATAGTCTGTTAAAACAGCTATATACTATCTTTTAATAATTTATTTCATCACAGTCTCTCTTTATTTTACTTTACTTTTTCCTTTCTATTCTTTTCTATCTATCTATTTAATGTGTCTATCTTTAAGACTGTGTTCTCTTTTCTTTTTTCATGACATTGTCAAATAGTTTCAAAGTATCAGAAGATGTTAAAATACTGCAATTTGTAAACAGTTTTTATATTCTGAGCTGGAATTTTCTGATTTTACATATCTGAAATTGATGAATGTATAATAGTTAA